ATTTTATAATCATTTAATTTTTTTAATGTTGGTTCAATTCTAGATTTAACTTTTTTTGTCCATAAGATTATGTACTTACTTTGTTTGTAATAGAATTTATTATTTTCAAAGTTTGTGCCTGCTTTAAAACTGAAAACATTGCGTGTATTGGAGGGGGGAGGGGTTATAAAACTGACCTAAAATAATATATAATATAAATATGATTTACTGTCAACGAATCTGGCAATGCTGCTTGACAAAAGGCAGGTAAAAACGTTCGCGATCGTGATATGGGAAAAGATCCGTTCGCAATCGTATATCACCCATACGAACAGTAAATTTGAATATTATTATGACCGAGTATGTTGTATAATAATAATACTATAATGTAGGTCTTATCAGCGTGAATGAAAAATTTAAACAATTTAATATCCAATACTCTGAAAGTCTGAACCTATTTGCAATACTCAAACCGCAAATCTATGATATTTTGAAAAATTAATGATTTTAGGATATAATTACTTACTACTAATAATTGGAAATATACAATTGGGTTTCTATCATTATATATTTATACCTATAGTGTTAGATCATTAAAGTCTATACACTGGAGATAAAATAAATTACTAAGATGAAAATTACGAGAGAAATGAACCAGAATTATTGTCTGTTTAAATGCTCACTCCTAATAACAGAATACCTAGAATAGAATATTAATAATTAATAATTTACTAYTTAAATCATAATATATTAAACTTCTAATATTTCCTTAGTAAAACACTAACAACATAATGAATTCAAATCGAATTATCTTGACTTAATCTAATATCTTAAATTATAATAGTACCTAAATGTAAATTAATTTAATTAGAACAAATTTAATTTACTAATTTAGACRAAATCCATTTACAAAAATAATTATCAGTTAGTATTTCTAATTTAAATATTTTAATGTTTAGTATTATAGGTTATAATATAGGCGATACTTACAGATAACATCATTATTTACTGTATTATTATTTAATTGCAGATTGCCATTGATAACGGTTGAATTTTGTTGTGCGCCATATTCGTATTTATACCTCGGGTTGTCCATTTACGTACAAGCTATAATCACATAATAATACCTATAATTTTACACAAATTACAGCTACATACCATTGTCAAACAGTCATAAAAGCTGTTGATAATAAGACCATATAAATACACATAAATTCGTTAAACAGGCACAAATATTTGAATAAGGAAAAATAATTATGTTTTAACGTAATAAAACATATAATCTTTTTATTATGTATCGTATGCGAGAGAATAGTAAAATTATCATAAATCACAAGCGGTTATGTGACTACCTAATAATATATTGTTGAATTTGAATTCGACGGTGCCTATAGGAAACCTCCTATACYGAAGGAGGTAATAGCTACCTATATCAATTATTAAGTTAAGTATAAAAAACAAAATTTGAAATACTATATTAATATAAGAAGTAAAAATTTGGTAGAGTGAGAAGTGAAATTTCAAGGATTTATTTCTAAAGACGATCGGTAATTATTTCGCTCGAAACGCAAATTGTAACGATTGTGACGTGCTRCTGTCTTATTTGGCACAACAGTCTTGTTAACGAAATTATCTATATAATCGCATCTCTTTTTTATCGTTTCTGGCACCACGTTTGATTTTTTTTAACGCGTACCTATATAT